CTTCACTTCTTTGTTGCGTGTTTGGATGTGTGGGCTGGGGGGGGGGGGGGGGGGGTGGGGGGGGGGGCCTTCTAGAGGGTCGGGCCAGGCACTCGTCAACTTCAAGGACGACGATTTTGAGCACATTAAGAAGAGAATGTTAATGTAAAAATCCACTCCAACTCTCAGCAGTACATACATTCAGAGTTCGCTGATCATCTGACTGTCAATAAGAATTGTTTTGGCAGGCAACTTCCAGTGGACTATCAACCAACGTTCTACATACTGATTTATGTCAACGTCCTTGAAGTTAATGGGGAATGCACTGATTTTGAGCTTAAAAGTCGGTTTACACACTTCGGAAAAAACTATCTTATGTGTACTAGTTGCTGAAATATATTTAATGGTAATGCGGATTTATTTTAAATGTGTTTTTCCTTAGTAACTGTAAAGCATTGGTAACATTGAAAGGTGCTATAGGTGCTACCAAACTGTCTGCGGTTAAATTGCATTGTGGGTAATTTAGATGCCAGGTTTATGGTTCTGCGGCATTAGACTTGATTTGTTTTTAAGAAACTGTCCACCTTGAATCCGACAATGTTTAGTGCAATACTAAATCTATGGAGACTCTTTTACTGCGATTATTTGCTATCCCGCGGAACGCACAACCCAGGCACTGCTACCAGGAGATAATCCCCAGAGACCGACGTTGGAAAAAGATATTTCAGAAATTATTTTTTCAGAGCCAGCATATAGTGGCAACTAGATGAACTGCAGCTTAAGATGGGTCAATCAATCAATCAATCAATCACGTTTTATTTACATAGCACCTTTCAAGCAAATCAAATGCAATTGAAAGTGCTTTATAAATGATTGACAAATCAAAAGAGTCGTAAGCATTTGGACCAGTTTTACCAGTTATACACATAGAAATCCATCTCAGAAGAGACATAGGACAGTGTCTTAAACACACATCGCAGCTAAAACCTCAACAATTCATTATCGCCCTGTCATCCAACATGAGCTAGATGCATCAATTTGAGGCACAGTGAAGGTTGTCTAAAGGCATTGTGAAAAATGTGAGCAATCACTAAGAGGGATGGTGGATACACTAAATAAATTTCCATCAAAGGTGCTCCCAGGAATTTACTGAATATCCCAGATTATTGATACAACATAACAGCACAAGCACACATGAAGGTTGACCTGCTCTCTGTTTATCAGCAGTGGTGGGCGAGCTGGGTTATCCTCATGTTATACAGTGCTGGTCATGATAACATGCTTTCTCTGTGTTCACTTCCAGTAGCACTGAAAGGCTTTGAGGTCTGAGATAGGAATTTAAATTATGTTTTTTGGAAAATCTGTAGGAGGAATGTGCCCGTTGTCTTGATGCCAGTTTGGGTTTCCGAAATCTCTATAACAGAAAAAGTTATTATGACCATTTGTCATAAAACAGGGGGAAAAAATGAATAACAGCCAGTTTACCAAAAGCTAAAATTTCACTTAAACTTGCAAAATGCACACTTTCACCTTAACTGTGTTCATTGCTTCAATTCCTCGAGAGAACATGAACAAAGCTCAGCTGACCACCGCCAGTTTTGCACAGCGTGAATCTGGATCAGCTCTGACTGTTACAGTTCAGTTGTTTTGTGTGTATAAGAGTGAAGAACGCCGACTAGAGGTGCGCTGCAGCCGTGTCCGATTCCTGCTCCACCTCACTGGAGTGGCAGCAGTCGGGTGGGGAGGCTGAGAGGAGAGATGGGGGGGGGGGGGGGAGGGGGGGGGGAGGGGGATTCACACCAACCCGCCCGTGAGGTGGTCGTGCTTGAAGCCTCCACGCCTGGATAAACCCCATCAAAAGCGCATTAGCCCTCTCTTCTCCCTCCCTCCGTTCCCTCCCCTTAACTCCCCCCCCCCCCTACGTCGTATAATAGTATCTGGCCGGGCCACGCAGCTCGCTGACACAGCCGGGCGAAAGGGGAGCGATGATGAATTGCTCCCTGTTGGTGTTATCCATGATGATAATTATTAATTTTCTCCCCCCCGCTCTTCCCAGAGAATGGGGGCCGGAGAGCTTCAGTGTTGCGGAGCCTCCTCCGTGGGCCGTCACGAAGCCCACTGTCATCACTTATCACAGACAGAGCCGGGGCCCAAGGCTAAACGCTGATGAAAATGTAAAGCGCTCATTCTGATTCGTCCTGTTTTTGGTGTGTGTGTGTGTGTGTGTGTGTGTGTGTGTGTGTGTGTGTGTGTGTGTGTGTGTGTGTGTGTGTGTGTGTGTCTGTGTGTGTGTGTGTGTGTGTGTGTGTGTGTGTGTGTGTGTGTGTGTGTGTCTGTCTCTCTCTCTTGTGTTTCAAGTTTACCCTCTCTTTTCCTTGCACTCTCTGTTTGTCTCGCTTGCCTCTTTAGACCTCCCTCCCTTCGTCCATCATGGGATGGGAAATAGAGGCCTTAATCTGTCAGGGGATCTTCTCAGATACAACTTAATAACAGGGTTGTTCAAATTAACATAAATTAATGGAACATACATTTTGAACATAAGTCTGTGAGGGGGCACAATTTTTTATTTAAGCTTTCTGATCATTCAAGCACAAGAGGACAACCGGAACCGTGTTCATATTTTTGGGTTTTAAATCTTTGTGTAATGTGAAAGGCATTGCTCACGGCAGTGTTGTAGTCTAGACCCCCCCCGAACCGAGACCAAGTCATGACCAAGACCAGAGTGTATCGAGACTGAGACAAGACCAAGACCAAGGCAGGGCTAGATCAAGTCAAGACCGAGACCAGACCAGCAGTGCAACACTGCACAACACATTTTACAATAAAATGTGGAACATGCAAACTATATTTACTTCTCACATTGATCTGAAAGATCCACATTCACATAAAAGCAACCACAGAAAACACATTTCAAAGATTCCTCCTCATTCACCTCTTTTATTGCCATTTATATGTGTGTGTATGTACGAGTGTACCATGAGAAATGCCTTCTATGAGCAATCACAGTGAGGATGTCAACAAATACATCAGACAATTCAGTGACATCCCCGCAGCTGTGGTGTTGAGATAAAATCCTCTTTGTATGAGACCGAGAAAAGAGAGAGAGTAGATATCCGGTTGATTCCAAGACGAGACCTTCAAAAAGGTTTTTTTTTTTTTACTTGAGTACGGTCTCGGTTGCAGTTTTTAGCAAACCAGCTCAGATAACTCGCTGTACGCTACCTGCTTAGCACCAAACAGCGGACAAATTTGGCAAATTAGCAATGAGCAAGTGAAGAAAGTGGAACATGTAGCAGCTAAAGATCCTGGTATTTTTCTGAGGAGTTGTGAAAACTAGAAGAACTATTGGTCTTCATCAGGTGGACAGAAACATGAGTGAATGCTAATGTTGCTCTGTTTGATGGACGTAGATAGAAAAACATGTTTTCTAACATGTTAGCCATCACAACTTAATGAGCTGCGATAGGTTGAAGGCTGTGTATCTATCGGCTTTAAGGATATTTAGCTTCTTTTGTAATGCTCACTTTCCATACATCGATGTTTGAGACAGTTAGGCAAAAGTCAGAAACACAATACTGCAGTCCATACTTTTTTTTACAGGTGTCTTTAAATAGTACAAAGTGAAGATAGCTGCAGCTGAACTCCTTCTGCTGTTGAATAACTGTTTTTAGTTCCCATTTGGAGGGAAAGTTTGAATCGTGAAATACCTGTTTTGCTGGCTGTTGTAAAAGCTATCATTAAATTCTTTCAAAGGGCCCCGAGAAGTTTGATCAACTCTCTTTCCTTCAGCCTGTTTAAATCAGGAAGCATTAACAGCCGGTGATCAGCTATAGGCTCGGTACAGTCCGGATCAGATGTGAGTCATCAAGGTCTTTATTGCTTATTGCTTAAACTTCCACATCTTTGGTGTTTTATACATGAGGCAGTTACAATACTTTTTTTTTTTCTTTCTTTCAAATGGGATTTTAATGGAGAAGCTCGCCAAGCTTCTCCTGTTTTTTATTTTTTGTATTTGCAAGTTTCACTCAGTGGCCTACATTTTAATTTGCCCGTCTCGCTGCTGTGTGTGAAAGTTGCACAACGTCGAAGTGACAATCAATCTCGCTTACGAGGCGTTGTCATCAGCGAGGCGCATTGAGGATGATCTCTGCCTCCCCGGCGAGGAGAGGTGAATCCGCTCTGCCTGACGAGTAATTACGGCTAATTTCCTAATTACCTCAGTACCGAGCATCTCCGTAGCGTTCATTAAAAGCCATAATTGCATTGGGTTGACATGCTCTTTTATCCACTTCGGGTTCTTTTCTGGCGGTTTAGTTGTGAGCTAGCGTTTCGCCCCTGCCTGTCTGAGTCGATAAAGGTTGATTGAAGCCTCTGTGCGGGGAGTGTGTCGAACGCGGCTTCTGACGGCATTCCGGATTATCTGAGTCTGCATGTGTGTATCTTTGTGTGTGTACGCTGTATGTAGATGCATTGTAAAAAATATATCGCTCTTGGCCAGTTTTACTTGCAGAAATTATTGAATTTCAATTTCGGAGACTTTTACAGAAGCTTTGAACAGATGCTAAAAACCCTAAAGAGGAAACCCTCTCCCCAGCTTTCACATTATATTACAGCCCTTTTTCCTGCTCCTTCCCTTGTTGTTCCAATGCTCTGTATGTCTTCCCCATGTCTGTTTTCCTGTCTTTACCTCCTTCTTTCCTCTCCTCTGTCCCCTTGTTTTCCTCTTTCCCCCTCTTCCATTGATTCGGTTCTTCTTTGTCTCAGAGAGCTGGCCTCCAAGTTGTCAGCTGCGTCAGGATTAAAAGCTATTAGTTCTGCATCATTGCCACTACAAGTGCGCTCCTGAGATTGATAGAGTGCCTCTCTCCTCCTCCAGCGGGGGGAGAAATGGGAGGAAAACAAGCCTGGGGGGTGGTTTTTACCTCACATATCTGACAGCGGTCACCTACAGGCACTCTGGCACTGGACTCTCCCTTCAGTTTGTTGTAGATGTGTGAATTGGTTTTCACTCAGTTGTGTTTATTGCTCTGTAAATCCACATCAGCAGAGAGTGTATTTTATAAAAGACTACATTTCCACGCAGGCATTTAGTGAATTGGAAACCCCAATGTGAAGGAAAAGAAGTCTTTCACATCTAAGACTTAAAAAAGCTTTAGTGAAGCTTCGGACTGGCTAGTTTCTTCTTCTGTGGTTTGCCAAACTATCATCTACACAACAATGGATTCCGTGGGAGCAGAGATTTGTCATTTGTCCTTTCCCTTAGTGGGCATTATTCAGATGAACACGCCTTCCTATTCATTTGGACTAAAAAACACATTAGTGTTTATTTTCCTGTACCCATTCCTCCTCTGTGCAGACTGTTTTCACATTGCTGTCACCAAAATAGCCACCTTTGCTAATTTCATGTAACACGCTGGAATTCTTTTTTTTTTTTATTGTCAGCAAAATTGCCTCGGTGTCATTGGAGGCAGCCTCATAATTTATTTCTTTTGTCCGATGACAAGTCTCCCAGATGAGGTGGAGCGGGAGCACATGGGAGCTGTTGGTTTTGAGAAGGAAGGAGGGTTGAAGAGTGCAGTTCTCACATGAGTCGTATCAATACCCATTCTCTGTAACAGAGAAGCCAATACAGTTACCAGACCATACACACACACACACACACACACAATGACGTGGTAAGCATGGCAAGCAAGCTAATCTAAATCCTTGTCTCCTTGAAGGTAGGTAAGTACAGTAAAGATAACTGTAAATATTTGAACAGTAAAATGTGTTCCCAGTGTGGTTTTACTGCCTTATTCCTCAACTCATTCATTATTTTGCTCATTAAAACCCTGAGACTTTGTTGTGCCTCCTGCCTCTCTCAGCGCTGCGTGCCAAGAGTTGCAGCATAGTCAAACAAATCCAGGGGTTTATCGTTCTGTCACATTCTAACACGCCCCTCATATTTCATTGCAGGCAATTGTCGGCTACTTTGACATTTTCTTTGACAAAGGCTGCGGCAACAAGGTAAGCGACGGCCACAGCCAAGCCATTTAACGGAAACTCAATTATGTTCACGCTTTAGCGTGTTCCTCCTCCCCGAGGCGTCCGCTGGCAATCGACATGCGTCCTAGCCGACTGCTGATATAAGCACTTGCCCAGCAGAGCCGGCCAGTTGGAACAGCCGATGCCAAGCTCTGTGAGCAACACAGATATTCCTTTCGTTTGCACTTCCTATTGTACCTGAGACTCTAACTGCATGCTATGGATGGTCCACTAAATGTTCATCCCCACTAGCACCTAAGGCTGGAGCAGTGTAACATGGTACTATCTGTTTGTTTCATGAACACAGTACAATTCGGTTTCATTTATAATGCAGTGTAAGCTATAAATGGTTTAGTTTAAGCGTGGATTGGCCCCAACAGAAACCATGAAATAGAAGATTGGTTCTTGTGCAGATTTATTTGAATCCCAGCAAGACTCCTACAGAACCTCCAGTAAGCTTTCCTTGTTTTGACACTTTTTATAGTCTGTTTTTTTATAAATTAAGAATATCTTCAAAAGTTTAAACCGATTTATAAACCGCTTTCATGTCCCGAAACATCCAAAAAGTGGTTTTGTGTTTGCGAAATGCTGCAACATGACAAAGTGTTCCGTGCTGTAAGGTAGCACCAGTTTGTGATGTTTGTGCTCTTGTTTTTTTTTCACGTATTATCACACCAGGTGATGTTCTCCACGGGTCCTCAGGTCACAAAGACGCACTGGAAACAGACAGTCTTCCTACTGGAGAGGCCTCTCTCTGTCCAAGCAGGTCAGTGAAAACACTCTGCAACACTGTTTCTACATGCACAGGGAGGTTTTACACTTTTGTCCGCTCTCACGTGCATATTCTTAGGCCAAGAGGAGTTTACATGCGTGGTTGAGTTCCATTTAGGTTGTATGGCTCTATTTTCTTTCATGGTTTTATTTGCCTCTCTGGCGGTGCGTCATAGCGAGCTGCGGCAGGTAATCTGTCTGTGGTGGAGATGTAGTCAGGCTGGTTGACACCCGTTATCTGTCACCCACAGAGACGGCGAGGGATCAAAACAAATCTCATTCAGCCATCGGAGACAGCATGTAGAACTTCATCTGATAGCCAGGTTGCAGGCCTCTGAATCATGACACGCTACCAGAGCAGCGCTTTGTAACTGACCAGTGAAATGTAATCGCTGTATCAGCACAGTTACGTGTTTTGAGCTGGTGCAGCTTGCTGTGACGCGTAGCAGTGTGGATGTTCTTTGAAACAACTGTCAAACTCCAGCAAACATAACAGTGAAAATGTCATCAACCGGCCATGAACGTGGAAACCTTAGTACATATATTTTTTTATTGGAGTGAAGAAATAGTCGACAGCTGTGGCATTGCCAACCTGACAAGTACGACCCAACAAATCCAATCAACTTAAAAAAAAGTACACGATGTAAAATCACCCGTAAAGTCTCGAGTTGATGTCTAACACGGTGGACTTCACCTTAAAACGATGTTAAAGACGATGTTACTTTTAAATGAAGAAATTGCTATTCCACTAACTATTAGCAATAAAAAAGCACCCTTGCTCGATTATACACTAAAAGGTTTTGCTGCCACAGCATTAAACCTATTTCATGCTCATTACGACGGCGTGCACGGTCCCCGCAAACGTGTGGTTGTTCATGCTGATTGCAAACAAACACGAACGAACCTCCTCTCTTCTGTAGTCCTGCTCACTTGTTGTAGACGAGTCTACTTTTTTGAAAAGTGATTGACAGCTGCTCTGCCTGCAAGAAGCATGAAACCGGTTTTACTTGGTCTGAAATGACTTCTAGCTCATGGAGGCTAATACATTTGATAAATACGACTATTTAACAGACATCACTGAATCTTCTCAACTTGTTCTACTGTTACTCTATACTTTAAGCATTTACGGTTCAGCAAAAGTTACTTAGTCTGTCTTTAATAGGAAGTCCAACAAACAAACAAACACAATAACGAGGAGGCAAAATATAAACTCACATCAGCATGTTGTCCTGACTTTTCCCCTTCGAAACCTTTTCATCTCGTAAAGGAAGAAGAGTATTTAAAGGAAACACAAATGCACCACTTCCTGTGTGTGCCAGAGCATTTTGTCCCATGAAGAACCAGTCAGAGTGATTTAGATCAGAGAAGGTTAAAGCTTTAATAAACTTAAGAGATCCGAACTAACCCTTTCAGTTATTTTCAAACTTTGTTCCTGTAGAGCGGGGGTCTTCAACGTGTTTCAGGCCAAGGACCCCCAAACTGATAGAGAGATGGAGCAGGGACCCCCGACTATATATATTGTATAAAATTGTGTTTTATATTAAACTGGACCTAGTGCCATGTATAAACATACCTCTTTATTATGCATTCAATACTAAGCTATTCAAATAATACACAGGTTCATATATCCATGTTTTTATTTTAAACATGTGCAAGGTACAGTGAGTAGGGAGGCCGTGCCACTGCCATTTATAAACATAGCTTGTCAACTGATACCAATACCAATATCAACATTGTCTGTCAATTGCATGATAATCATGCACACAAGCTATTCAAACTGATGTTTTCATTTTAAACATAAATGTGGAAACCAAAATGAGTGATGGCATATTAGTGCCACTGCCATGCATAAAGATACCCGTTATCTTTCATACAATACTGAACTATTAAAATAATGGACAGATTCATGTTTAGAGAAAACAAATTTAAATAGTTTATTTTTTTTTTTAAATTGTCTAATCAACCAAAAATTTTGCTGACCCCCTGTTGAAGACCTCTGCTGTAGAGGAATGAAGCAGCACATTTTTATTTTGTGCAAGAAGAGAAAAGCACCAGACTGATATTGGTCAAAAAATAAAATATAGAGTTTATATTATACTGAAATGGACGACGGATAATGTTCTGAGAATACACATTTTTCCATTGTTCTCCTTTTCATGTATTTGGGGCCTCTTGAGGCCCCGGGGCCCCTCAGCAGCAGCTTAGTTTCTGCTTGTTTCTCTGGAAAAAAAACACTCGTTGCTTGTTGTTTTGAGACGGCGCAGCAGCAGAAGAAGAAGAAGGAAACGTTTCCTCATCCTGGACGGAGCGACGAGCGGACAGACGGCGGCTCCGTGCTGTCGGGGCTCCGCCACTAATTGTGAGGGAGAATAAGATTGTTTTGGCTATAATGAAGGATGTGTTTGTTAACCTTGTGACTTTGCTGTAGATTGGGACCTCATTGTGTGCCAGCTGAGCACTGTCTTGGAGGTGATTTGAGCTTCTTACAGCTTTGATTATGTAGAATTAAGCCTTAGATAAAGGTAAAAACGGCCCATGGGAGTCATGTGACCAGATTGATAAATTCATGAATGTTGTAGCTGAAGCAATTGTCATTGTTGGTGTTTTTCTTATCACTGTCAGCCTCTTAGATTAAATTTGAGATTGATGACAATGAAACCTCATTAGTCACATTGTCAAGCATCTGCTGCCACAGATCCTGCGTCCATGCATGTACTCGGAGAATCATCCTTCTTCCAGGTCTTTGGCCTCGAAGGGTCGATCCATGATGGAGATGGATGTTGGAGGAGTCGGTTGACGTTCGGTGTCGAGGTTGGATAAGGAGGACAGGATTAATAGAAAGCTATAGTGGATGTATTTAATGAAACCAAGCAAAAAGATTTAATCGTGTAATCCTATAAAACACTCTCACCTATGAGTTGTACAGAAACAAACATCCAGTCATTTATTGGCTCAATGTTACAGAAAGTTAACCCTTTCAGCGCTGTGCTGTTTGCTGACAAAGACACTGATGATGTAATGTCAACAAATGACACGTGGAGTATCGATAGGCGCACACATGAGTACTGATAAGCAGTACACTGCAAAAATTAAACTCTAAGTAAGATGAAATATCTTAAATCAAGGCAATATATGCTTGTTTTTTGTCTGACACGATATTTCTTCTCACCAGGCAGTTTTTATGTTCGAGCATTTCACTTGTTTCAAGCGTTTCAGTCCTTAATTATCTTAATAAGGTATTATAACTTGTTACTGAGATTTTATCACTGGTTCTGAGCAAGTTAATGCTTGAAACTAGAATTGCCATAATTATAAGGCTGTTTGATCACCACTGACGAGCACAAAACTGCTTTGTCCAAGTCAGAATTTCTTATTTCATGCATCCTAACCTTTTCATCAACGACCAAATGGAATTCATTGTTTTATTGTGAATCTTACAACACAGCACTGCAATTATGTATTCCTGTTGACAAAATACAGTACAGAGCAAAGACAGTACTTAACAAAGTCAAACTGTTGCTTTAAGAACAAACGTTCTCCTCGGCCTGTCTCCTCCTTTAGCGAGTTAAAGTGAGTGAGCGCTGTGCTAACATCTCATTTGGAATATAAAGGTTGCCGTTACATCCATCTGGCCAAGATGTGGTTATGAACATGAGCATAAAATGCCATGTGATAATTCTGTACATCTAAATGGACTCTTAATACATTTGATCTAACAGACATTTAAAACAACCTCCAATAAACGCAGCCAGTATTATACCAAGATTCAGATGATTTACTGTATTTATAGCTATCTTTATAATTACGTATTTTCACAGCCGTATACTTCAACAGTTTAACTACAGAAATGATGTGTAAAAGGCTGAGGGTTAACCGAACCCTTTTATTTTTAGATTATTTTACTTGAAATTATTTTCAATTATTATTATTTACTTGAAATGAGAGAACATTTATTTATGTATTATTTATAATCCATCCAGTTAAATTGGAAAACTGAGAATAATGATTGTTAAAATATAATTGATGTGTAGTTTCTTTATTTGATTTGACAGTTGTTGACTACACAGAGACGCTATATGGCACTAAATAGCGCAAGTTAGATATTACCTCAGAGCTGTCCAGGTGTCTTCTGTGGAGTTGTTGAAAACAGTAGGTGCAGGTACAAGTAAATTCAATTTATTTTGTACAGCTCAAAATCACGAATCACAAATTTGCCTCAGAGGGCTTTACAATCCCTCACATTGGAACAGGAAAAACTCCCCCAAAAACCCTTTAACGGGGAGAAGAGAGGAAGAGACCTGTGGAGAGCAACAGAGGAGGGATCCCTCTCCCAGGATGGACAGAAGTGCAATAGATGTCATGTGTACAGAATGAACAACATAACAGAGTTACAACACATTCAATCCACGGAAACCTGCGAGGTGGGAAAGCACAGAGAGTGAGTGAATGAGAGCATAAAAACACTGTCTTAATGTACATCGGACACCGGAAGTACCCTAACGCATGTTGGCACATGATTTGAAGACTGGCCACCCCCCCTATGACACTATTGAAACAGCAGCCCAACACAGTGACATGTCACCGTGCAGGACTTAAGAGACGCGGCTGTCTCTCCCCGACAGTTCACGCTCACTGTCACGATCCGAGCAACCAGGGAAATTACTCTTGCATATGTCACAACTACGTTAGAGGCACGACCAGTGTCCAGATATAACGATGATCCATAGAAACCTGTGAGGAGAGAAAGCACAAAGAGTGAGTGAACGAGAGCATACAAACACTGTCCTAATGTAGGAGGTTAGAGTAAATCCCAACATTTTACACAGTTA